TTTTGTCAATACTCTTATAAATACGTCCGTGTGTCGCAAGTTTTCGACAATGAGCTGTTATCACCGAAAAACTGTTAAATTCATTTCAATGCTCAGTTTATCTTTCGAAAAAAACTAATTTCTTGATTTAAAAAAAAAGTCATGTCGTTTTCCCATGGAAATCAAAGCCAAAAGATCGCACTACATTATCGGTAAATCACTTCCGCGTTTCGTTCACCATGAAGTCGGTGACCTGTCATTAACATATTTAAATGAACTAAGGTGGTGAACTAAGGTGAACACGTGGGCACCATCCAGCAATTTGATTGGTTAATTAGTGGCTTGACCTATCCGGTCAAGTAACGTCTCGTGTGCATTCAAACTACATGGCGGATGTCGTATCGTACATGTCGTATCGATCGTTTACATGTGACCGAAATAATTTGCTTACGGTGAAACTAAGTTGAATTTTACTTGCATTTGATAACAATTCAACGAATGTATTTTTCGTGGGTTATTATAATTACTACTGAGTAATAATCAACAATTTCAACACTTCGAAAACAAGTAAGTTATTCACTTGTGAGCCGAAGCATGGCCTGATTGCGTTACCGTAGCCACGGTACTGTACTTTTTTAGTGCCGTACCATGATCATTTTCTACTAAGCAATGCATTAATGTTTGTTTTTATTCGAAACTCGTGTCAGAATGTACTTTCCGTTACGAAGAAAATTAATAAAAATAAATGCATATTACATTAAATATACTGAGTATTTTATTCATGTGAAGTTTTTTTATGACGTGACACTTATAATCAAAATATTGTACGATGTATTGTTTGTTTTGTGCAAGTGATGTGGGAAAAAATGCCCATGCCCATTTAGTGATTGCAATATGTACGTAATAGAAACCGCACCCCCAAACTTGAGCTGTTGATCCCAATTTTTTATTTGATACATTGTAATAAAAACCGCGGTTTATAATAGGATTTTAACGGTAGTACGAATATGTTCACTTACTTCTTCTTTCTGCTTTTTCTTTTCTTCTTCTCTTTGTCTCTTCTCCTCCCTCCTGCGTTGTTTTTCTAACTCTTTCTCCTCTTTACCCTTCTTCTTCCTCTGTAGTTTTTCATCATGATTGACCTAGTGAATGAAATATTAAATCATCATTGCCCAAATCAAGCATGGGTACAATACTTGACACGTCAGAGAATAGTAGTACGACTATGTATAGGAGAGGGGGGGGCACTAATTTTAGGAGGCTACAAACAAAATA